CACAAGACAGCTCAGGCCTTCCTGCAATGAGCAGTGACCGGGCGGATCGACCACCCCAGGAAGGGAGGATGCCTAGCATCCAGGCCACAGATAGAGATGAGCGTAACCCCCACAGGGCAGCAGCTGATGAATGGGGGCTTTTTTTTTTTTTTTAAAGAGCCGAGAGCTGGGAGAGTGGGCAGGGAATGGGGCCAATTCAAAGACCTGGCCACCAAATCTCTGAATCAGATTTGGCTGAATTGATTTGGGACAGTGATTCGAATCACTGAATTGAATCACTGTCCCCCAGATTGGCTGAATCTGAATCCAAAGCGAATACTAGCCGCTTTGCTCAGGCCTAGAAGCTAGCACCCTTAACGACCAGCCTTTGAAACCTGGCTGCTGCAACCTTCACATAAAACACTAAACCAGGCAGGATCTTACCGTTTGGCATAAGTTCCACCACCATTTTTGGATAAGCAATGTTGGTACAGCCGACAGAGGTGCCACAGTAACGCTGACATTCGGAGGGCACAACACAAGCCACCACATCTGAGGAGAAGATCACAAGACAGGAAATGCCAGGGGGCTCTATCAGCAAGTTATCCAAAAATCAAGAGAACTTCTTAAATTCATCTCTGAGGAAAACCACCAATTTGCTTGGTACCATCCTGGGCCCCCCCACTGGGGGAGGGATCCCATTCCTGCTCCACTTGTTTCCTGCCTGAAGGAAAAGTAGAAGTGCTATATGTGAAAACATTAAAACTGCCGTGACAGAGCTGGAAATGGGGGCAGGATTGAAGAATACGGGTGCTGTACAGGGCAGCATCAGTCTGAATCAAGAAAAGGCCCCCTCCCATTCTGCCCATCTGCTCTGCTGCCTGCTGTTGTGTACACAGCTGGGTATGGAAAGGAAGCCAGCCTGGCACTATGCTGACACTGAACCAGCCAGCATGAGAATTTCAGGGACTGCCAGGAGCCGGGCACAGTCCTTGGGGTGACAAACTCCATCCCTCAGCCTGGGAGCAGAGAATCAGTCATGGATGGGGGTGGTTTCCCTTCACTCAGTCAAAGCAGGAATGCTGTGACCAGTGGAGAGGTTAGGAGACAACGATAGCATTATTGAACCCTGAGCAGAGGGAGGGGAAACAGCAGGTATCTAAATGATCTGAGTATAGAGAGCAGAAAGGGGGAAGGAACTTGGAAAGGAACAGAGAAGACAAGACCAAGGGGCACCGAGACAGTAATGAGAAGAGGCTAAAGGGACTTGAAAGCTAGATCTTACCTGTGTACAAAATCCGACTGATCATCCCAGGCATCACCATCAGGAACATGGGCAGCAGCTTCAGGTACCCACACATGATACAGCCAGCCTTTACATGGGACATGTTCTTGCCGGAGAGACATCTCTGGACAATAACCTGTCAATGACACATGGACATGAAACACTTCAGGAAAGAGCTTTGTTACGCAGCCTGCCAGCTGCATCCAGATGCAAGGATGCTCTTTAATCTGTGTTCCAGGAAGAGATCTAACCATTCCCCCTTAACAAAAAAATAAAACCGTAGAAGGAACAAGCAGATGCATCACATAGATAAAAGTAACAAATACCGTTAGTCCAAAATATGTTTCAAATGTAAAACTCCCTGCCCCAACCTATTAATAAGCTTAGTAGGAATCAATAAAAGGATTACATATTTGCAAAAAATGCTAAGGGGAGACAGAGTTACCCTTACTAGTATGCAAATATAGGTAATCAAAAATCCACGTGATATGGAGCATAGGTAGATCATCCAGCTGGGGGCTGACCAAATTCCCCACCCATTCACACAAGCCAGACAGTACTTCACAATTACAGTAGTACACGTCCCTGTCTCTCCATATCCCAACATAATCATTTTTGTAGACTGCATAGACTGCTATGCCTACAGAGGAAATGGAAGAAAGGGGAAGGTCGTTCAACCTGAGGTAGGATGAGGAGAGAACTCATCAAGTATCAATAAGTATCTGCTCACCTTTGTGTACACAAGACAATTAAACAGCACAAATAGCAACTGTACCCAGGATAGCTGGATAGGGAATTACTTCAAGAGACTGACAGAGGTCCTTTTTAGCATGTAGCTAGCCTATTTAAGAGGCCTATCAAGGGCCCATATTTGAAAATTGGACACTCAAGTATCACAAGAAAGAGGGAAAACCATCATACAGAACATATCTCTGCCCAACACAGTATATAAAAGGGCATGTACATGTGTGCATATGCACATGCACACACACACATGTGCGTGTTTCAACATAGTAGGGACTGGATCTGAATCTAAAAGCTGAAAAGAAAGGTAATTTTGCCCTCAGGAGATAACAGCCACACTATGGCAGTCCTGTGTGGGGGAAAATACATTTAAAAATAAAGATCTATGAAAACTGGATTTCAGATTTTAGAACACACTGAATTTCCCAATCCAGTAGCCTTTACATTACCTGATCTGTGCACCAGTACCACAAAGCAAGGATGCTCAAACCAAAGACAAGCCCTGGCCATGGCAGGTCTCCAGTAATGGGATCTCGGAAGATGTGGAAGGAATCTGCCCGAGGGGTGTAGCACTTTGGGTTAAGGGTACCATTTGTGTATGTGACGTTGGTTGGAATTGCATTCATGTATTTCTCAACAAAAGCATTGTAGCCTCCTACTTTGTCAAACGCTGAAAAACAGAATAAGACCATTGATAAAGGTGTTAAATGGCAAAAGTCTCTGATGGAACTGAAGAGTCCAAGGAGGAAAATTCATGCTATGGGTGTCATAAGCCTGCCCAAACTTCATCATTGTTGGCAGAAAAATAAAAAAAAAATCAAACCCCAGTGTATTATGAATGCTCTCCTAACCAAGGTGTCAGTGTGAGTGGCTTTGCTGCTCAGACCACTATAGAGGAGCTTTACATCACTCTGCCTGACTCCACTCTCCTTCCCATGTCCCATATTCAAGCTTTCCACTTTGAACAATGAACAAAGGTGACAGCGGCAGTAGCATAGCTAAGGGGGAAGGAGGGGTGCAAAAACAGCAATTGCTGTACTACAAACCCAACTTCTGCTACCACAGCTGCCAGCAGCATAGCCACTGCTACTGCCCATGGCTCACAGGTGTCCAGGTATGCCTCTGAAGAGGGAAGAAAATTAAGCTTCCTAGGATTCCCTGTGATTATTTCCTTCACTTAGGAACACAGAACTGCAAGGGACCTCTCAGGCCACTGATCCCAGGCCTCTGACTCTGCAGTGAACCATTTATCCAAAAGTCCAAATTAAGCCTCAATTTAATTATGCAGGCTAGCTCCTTAATAATAGTGCTCTATTTCATAGTATAGGCCATATTTTAATGCATAGATGGGCCTGTGGACACTTGCCCTCCCATTCTTAATCACAGAGCCCATCTCATCTGTCATGGGCAATGGGGGCAATGGAATGATATCCCTATGGCAACTACAAGACTAGCTTAAATATTTAATATATTTGACATGTTTTAATGCAATTTAGCAGCTAGAAACAAGGAGCTGCTGTACCATGTGATCAATCACCTTTCAGCTTAGCACTAGAAATTCATGAGCTAGTCTGACACACTGTCCTACTATAACCTTCTCAAAACAAGTTACCTTCTGGACCTTTCAATGCTTGCAACAACTCTGCCTCACCCCTCCTCACCTGCATACACAAAATATTTTATCCTTATGTGGGATGATGTCCTGCGTTCATGGTTGCTTTGACAATGCAATCATGTGGATGACGAGATGACTTGGCAATGCTACTGTCTTCCTCCAGGCAAATGCACAAAAGCAGCTATAGTGTTACAACCGGCAACCTGATAGGACCCCACAATGCTGGATCCACTTCACTGGGACAGTAGGGCACAAGGTGTATAATTCTGGCTCTAATTCACCCGATTTACTTACCAAATCCCATGAGAATGAAGGACCCCACCAGCATGATGAAGGTCTGCAAGGTGTCTGTGTAAATCACAGCTGCAAGGCCACCTAAACGCAAAGAAAAAGCCAAGAATAGGTGAGGTCTTCTGAAGGAGAAAGCCTCAGTAGGAATCACCTCGTTGTACTCTTCTACAGTATCATTCTCCGTTTCTCACACACACATTTATACACAAATCCAAATCACTTTCCATTCATATTTTCATTCCTTTCTCCTCTCGCCTCTCCCCTTTTCATCTCTCTGCATCACTCAAACTCATTTTGAAATTTGTCAGTCTGTTCCACACACTCACCTGTGATGGTATAAAGACCAGTAATGGCCAGCAGTATAATTATAGCCAAATAAATGTTTAGGCCCATGGCCAGCTGGATAAATATAGCCCCAGAGAAGATATCAGCCTAATAAAAGAAAGGTAAAAGGTTAAGGAAGGTGGAGATAATGGGAATAATTCTGTTGCTCTAACCCATCCCTTCCCCCAAATGACAGCACAAAAGAATAAAAAAACGTGCAAAACAAAAATAAAGCCCATCTCCTTGGTCTCCAAGGGCACCTATACACGACGGAGCTCTGCTCTGATGTGTGCTAATTAGCACTGGTTGGGGCAGACTTGATTATTCAAGTCTGCTGCAAGTCTGCTGGAGCATGCTAATTAGTGCACTCCAGGAGCCTCCATGTCACATGTACTCAGTGTCCCTGCATTTCAAAATGGCAGCAGGGAAGTTTTACTAAAGCTCGTCTAATGAGCTTTAGTTAAAGCGCCCCTGCTGCCATTTTGAAAGGTGGGACACTGAGTACACGTGATGATGCAGGCACTTTAATTAGAGCGGCTCCAGCAGACTTGACTAATCTCTGTGAGCCACTCTAATTAAAGCACCGACCCCCGACCCCTACCCCAGAGCACGTGTATAGGTGCCCGAAGACTTGTCTTATTTTAACTGCTGGTCTCTCTCTGAAGTTCAGTGCCCAGAAATGTGGCTACAATTCATCTTAGACGAATCTGAGTAGTCACCTCTCCACCCCTGTGCATTTACATATGGGGACAAATCTGAACAAGAAAGCACTTAAACCCCAGACCACGTGAACAGTGATGCCCACTGACAACCTTTGTGTCATCCAGGAAGAAGTATGTTCAATGACCTTTCCATTTAGTGATAAGCTACAAGTCTCTTCTCCTAGCTCCACACAAGTACGTGCAGTACAACTGGTACTGGTAGTTTACAACAACACCTAATTTTGCACAAGTTCAATGAATGCCTCAAAGTAACCAAAGTGAAGTTGGCCTGCTACAAGGACATTTAGCTCTTGTAAGAGAGATGAGCTTGCAGCTTTAGGATTAACACTTTATCTTGGAGGTTAGTTAGCTAAGCAACTCCCAAGGATGAGAAAGAATTTGCCTCAGTGTGGCATCCCCACACTGGACATCAGGCTGGCCTACCTCAGTCCAGCTCATGCTGCACCACTGAAGGCTGTTTCTTTGAGGGGTTTGCAGCACTGCAATAAGCTGTCCCAGTGGCAAAGAGACTTTGCTAAGAAGTGCCTCTGTTATGTGGGTCAGACAGTGCAACCACAATCAAGTCACTGAGTTTTTGCTTCAAAGTCACTCATTCACTTTGGAAAAGCTCACCTAAAATCCCCAAACAAGCACAGCTAAAGAAGGACTTTAGCTGTCAGCTTTAGTAGAGGTTACAACAGCAACAAGCATTGAATTGAAGCAGGGAGGGCCAATCCCAAATTGGATCAAACCAAGGATGTAAGAGAGGCTGTTCTGCATGTGATAAGCAACATTATTGCATTTCACCTTCAAAGCTCTTTGATGTCAATAGCGTATCATAGATTCATAGTTGTAGGGTCGGAAGGGACCTTGTATATCTTCTAGTCCGACCCCCTGCCCTGGGCAGGAGAGAAAACCGGGCTCAAATGACCCCAGCCAGGTAGACATCAAGCCTCCTCTTAAAGACCCCCAGGGTAGGAGCCAGCACCACTTCCCTTGGAAGTTGGTTCCAGCTCCTAGCTGCCCTGACTGTGAAGTAGCACCTTCAGATGTCTGCTCTCACAGTGAGACTTGGAACTGGGTACTACTACATTTTACAGGCAAGGGAACTTAAGCAGAAAATATTTCAGTGGCAAATCCACTCCACTCTACCAGTAGCTGGGTCGGTGCTAGAGGAAGAAATCCTCTCCTGCCTACCCCTGAGAAACTACTCCATGGCTGCTATTGCAACGTTGAGACTGCAAGGCCTGACATCACCCCAGCATTGCACTCTGCAGGGTGAGAAGCAGACATAAAGGCCAGCCTGGCAGTCCTGCTCCTTTGTCAGCCATTGCCCACTGGCATGCAGAAAGCTGGAGTGGAGCAGAGCAGCACCCACACAGGGGAAATGTAACACAAGCACAGTCCCATCCTCAGGTTCTCCCACACCTTCGCAATCAGTGCCCAGGGAGGCTGGGCCAGGATTTTCCAACAAGGGACTCAGAATTAGGACTAAGAGACAGGAAGGAGGTTTTAGATCTTAATCCCATATGCTACTTGCATAATCATCATCTGCTGTGTGTCTGGGAGGAGATGCCTTCCTGACCCTCAGATGGCTGATCACCTCATGTCCCAAAGTGTACTCGGTTTATTTTTAGCATTAGTTTAGCGTGCATATCTTTAAATATTAATGGCTATAAAATGATCCCACTGGGAAATGTGAAGTTAATTATTTAACATCCCAAGTGATACCTTAACCCTTGGATTTGCTAAATTACCTTCGAAATTCACCTTTCCTATCACAGTTAGATTATTTACTACTGATATTTCCTTGTTTCTCCATTAATTCTTTTTTATGGATAGTATTCAAAACTTATCATTATTCTGAAATTAGTAAATGGTTTCCTTGCACTGCAGGACTTCACACAAGAGCCACGCACAAATATGCAGGAACTCCTAGAGAAAACTAGAAGTGACATTGGTTGTAGCTTCAGTGACAACTACTGTTGCCAACAGTAGTTAAGACTATTAAGAAAAACTAAAGGAAGTTAAGAAAATGCCACAGTGCCTTAGAAGATTCAGATTTTAAGTTTCTTCAGGTTGTGGACAGCAATCAGTCACTTATATCACTCATTACCTAGTCTACACCATCTTCTGGCTCAGCTTTGCCACTTGTGGTTCAGCTACATTGTTAGGAACAGCAGCAGTGGCATGAATGGATAGCAGTTTCTTCAAAGCAGCTATGGGCACAACTCATGCAGAAGCTCTTTAGCCACATCTCCAGTGCTCTGCTTCTACAGAACATACCTTGGCTTCAGGAACATAAGAGATTATGGCTTTTTCTGGGGAGCTGGTGAAGGAGAAGCCACCAAGCAAGACAAGAAAGGAATAAAAGCACATAGAACAGAGAGGGAAAAAGTAAGTGAGTAAAGAGAGTCACAGCAGGAGCTCTGCATGGCAACACACAGAGGACCCATTACTAGTCTGTCATAAGAGAATGGAGACGGCCAGAAAAAATACAGGAACCGGTGCAGCAGAGTAGTCATGGAACGTACATAGAGCCATGCACCCTGGATAAGCTCTCACCCTGGAAAGCTCTCACAATCAAAAACACATGTGGCATGGAGGAAACAACACAGAAAACAGGTACCCTGAAAACAAGATCTTATATTGACGTGCAAGCCTAAATTGCAGAGGGTGTCACCATGACTCAAACTGTTAGGTGTGTCAAGGTAACCACAAGTGATGAGGAAAGCCATCTTCTGGTAGCTGGCAGTAACAGGAAGGACAGGGAGGATCTGCAAAGGTGGCAGCCTGGAAGCAATTTGCAAATCTGTGCAACCAACTGGCATGTCTTGACTCAGACTTTTGAGCAATGCTATCTATGTCTCTGGCACCAGAGGGGAAGAATCCTACAGAGCTTCTTGGTATTTGCATGCCACCATACATATGCCACCTGCCTCCGTGCCCATGCAGAACTGTAGATGTATTTATATACTAAATGAAAGCTCTAGCGTGCAGACAGTGAGATCTGCTGCCCTTCTCTGTTTGCCCTATTCCAAGTGACCTGCTGGACTGACAGGCACTTGCCATGGCCACAGGTGCAGTTCTGTATGCTGCCCTTGATCAGTTAATTCTTTGTCATGGTAACAGGCACCCCACCCAGATGAGTTAATGTGCAGAGGACACAGTTGGACAAGCTGTAATTGGAGAGGGGCTCAGCTATACTGACCCCATCATAGGGCTGCTTTGTTGTGTTAGCTGGGCAGGACTGGGAGCTTCTCTGATGGCTACTGTAACTCAAGATGAGACCACCCCCCAACCTATAGCCAACACTCCCCAACCTATAGCCAATTAATTCAATACACTGCTGCAAATCATCTTATCCCTTTGACTTCTCTTTACAGGACAACCCTTCTTTTTCCCCTGCGCCAGTGCTCCCCACTTGCATCTTTCTCTATACTTACACCAGTGCTTCTGCACCTAAATTTATAAGCTTTACCCAGTGACATCACTGCAGGATTTGGCCCCTAGTGATCACATTGTTACTTGTTACCCTTGGTGTACCCTGCCTACATCTCTGCTGCCTTTCCTTCATCACCCTTCAAACTACCCTCCCTGTCCACTTCACCCAAACTAAACTTTCTGTTGCACCACTTGCTTGGCATAATTTTACATTTAACATTCAGCAGCTATCCTCCCTTCATCAGGCACATCCTGAAGGCTTTCCTATTCTGTGTAGTTTTTCACCTTCCCATCTTATTCCATTCCCTAAGAGGAAGGCATGCCTGCTGGAACTGACAGAAACCCTCTAAGCCAACTCAGGTCACTTTAACTGGGTATCAGGGGAAATTTAGTGTGTGTGCGCATGTGTATATACAATCTAGGATATATATATATATATATATATATATATATAATCTAGGATATAGTTAGCAAACTGATGGCCTTTTCACAATACAGACAGAGAGATACAAGTTCCATACTAGGATTGCAAATCAGTTATCCATCTGGATTCATGCCACATCTATTACAGCTGATAGAACAATATTATTCTCTGTGTTGCACATGCTAGATTTGTGATTACAGCTGCACATAAAACCAGTTTTATTGACTGCTGCTCACTGAAAGAAATACAAGAGCAAACCCAGTGTGTGGACTTCTTCCAAGTCCCAGCCTGTTTAATTTATAATCCTTGTGAGGCTCAGTTTCACAAGGGTGTGAGATCTGAGAGCAACTGTTTTACCTTAAATTGCACTATTATCACTCAGCTCCTATTTCGGGGGCAAAGAGTAACCTTGCATAGCAACTGCAGTAAAACAACAGCCCCGGGTCTGCCTGGACTATGGACTAGGCTGGAGGCTTGTTAGCTTCAAAAGGTGTGGAAAATCATAGCTCCCTTTACTCTTGCACTGCACCCTCCTGAGATGCACTTCATAGCACCAACTGATCAACAGAAAGGCTCTCTTCTCTTTCCTTCTCATTCACTCCTCCCTTCCCCTCACATTTACCCACTCTCTTTTCTAACTGCTCCTCATTTGTTCTCTTCTTTCCACAGCGCTAAAAGGTTATTAGTTTATAGCAGAGGAGGGTAATGGAAAAGATGAGGATGAAGGTGAGAAAAAAAACCCCTCACACTCCTTGAATATGAAAGGGTCTTGGTTTCCCCAGCTTGAAGGCAAAGAGAATTACAAACTTAAGATAGCAAGGAGGTCTATTGCCCAGACTATGCTCAAAACAAAGTGTGGATGGGTGGTTCTGGGAAACAAGCAAATGAAAAAGTGACAACATGGAAACAAATTTTTCCCAGCCTAAATTAAGCAAAGGACGCTGAATGAGAACCAAAAGAGCCAGGCATGTAGAAAGGGCTTGTGTGTGTGTGCAGAATAATTTAAACTTGAGCGTCTCTCTCTCAGGCCAGTACACAGCAGAAGTGGGGAAAATGGGAAAAGTATAACTCACCGAGATCTTGGTGAAAATATAAAGGAGCAAAGAAAGCACCGACAGGTAGACTTGAATCCGTTTGCCACCAAATCGCTTCCTGAGGTACTCTGGCATTGTCACCACCTGTGGAAAGAGAATTCACACTAGGGCAATGTTTCCCAACCAGTGTGCCATGGCACACCAGTGTGCTGTCAGAAATGAACAGGTGTGCTGTGGAATTTTGCCATGGCAATGAGCTACAATAGGTATGAGGATAGGGAAGGTCTTAACAAGTGTGCCGTGGAAAATTATTATTAATGTAAGTGTGCCTTAGGCTGGAAAAGGTTGGGAAACACTGCATTAGGGGACAGACATAACTTCAGACACTTTCTGCTGCCCAGATATTACAGGAATGGGGGCCCCAGAGGAGAGGTGCAGGAGAAAAAAAACACTTCAAGAATTGGGGAGAGACACAGAAGAAGGTCTTTGTACATGCCACAAAACTGGCTTTTAAAGTGGCTTAAATGCCTTTTTGCACTACTTTAATGGCATTGCTGTTTGCACGCTGAGCAGTGTATTCCACTTCAAATGACTTTGGTATGTAGCGAGATAACACACCTCCGAGGTGCTTTAGTTTGCTACCTAACATAGTGCAACAGTGCACGGGGTGCTGGAAGCCAACGTGCTTGGGGCTTGGTGGGCCCTGCACAGCTCAGAGGCTGTGGGTCCTAGTGACAGCCTGTGTAAGCAGGCTGCACTAAAGAAAGGGGGGGGGGGGGGGGGGGGGGGGGGGAATTAGCAAGCCTGATTTTTTTTCCTTCCTGGACCCTGCCTGCCTGAGCTGTGAGGGGACCCAGTGCTTCCCTTCGCAGCTGCAGCACCCCCTGGGACTGCACAGGCCAGGTGCCAGCAGGCAGGTGCTGCCTGGGGGGGTCCCGCACAGCTCAGGGACTGCTTGGCCCACTGGTAGCTCACCTCCCCCAACCCCCAAGCCTCCCACCACCAAAAAGACAAGTAAGGATTAGGCCTCTACCCTTGTGTACATGCCATGGGGCTTTAGTTCAGTTTAATTCTCCCTAAATTGAAGCAGTATTTTTAAAAAACCACCATTTCAATTTAGGGAGAACTAAACCTAATTAAAACCTCGTGGTGTGTACAAGCAGCCCGAGAATGCCCAATCTTCCCCATGCAAAGATCTCAAAGCCAGAGAAACCGCCCTTCTCCAAATACATGTATATGTCACTGTTACAGATCATGCCTGCCACTTGCAAGTCTCTTGCCATTGAGAATGGTTTTCTGATGGTGCTAGACCCCACACACAGTAGGGTGAGAAATAAATAGCAACACAGGGAACAAAGATAGGCAAAAAAATATATTTGTGCTTACCCCAGCCTTGATGTAGATGGGTACAAACACCCAGCCAAGAACGACCACAAATATCAGGGCCTGAACAAAAGAGATCAGCTGAATTAGCCTCTTATCCTCTTACCAGCACTCCCTGTTGAAGCCAAACATCAGGCTGCATGTTAATGATACTGCTACAGCAAACAGAACCATGGCCAGTGCAAGACCCTTGTCCTCCTTCCTTCTGTTCTGCTTGTATTTTACAGCTGAAACTCAACGGGATGGGATCCTGACTCTAGTTAAGTTGATGGGAGTTTTACCACCGACTTGAAATGGGGCTAGGATTTCACTAGAATCCAACAGAAGCCCCCAAGGAAGTCTCCATTGGGACTTAGTGAAGTAGGAAGATTGCTTCAACACTTACCCTTTGCCTATGTATGGGGAAAATACATATATAATGTCTCTGCACAGGTCTTAAGAGATTCCCTCTCTTGCAGATCCCCTATCAACACTCAGCCTGACTATAGTGTGGGCTTTTGAATTTCAGTCACTGCTTCATCTAGCCTTACTCGGTAAAGGTCTGTGAAAGTTAAAGTGCCAGCAGCCCTCTAGAGGCTGTTCTGTACCCAGCACAGAAATTCTAGGGATGCCACCTGTGTCCCCTTTTCCAGTCCCTTGATCCAGTCTCTCAGCAGCCACCACTCTAGGAAACGCTCTCCCCCCAAATCCAAGTACGCTTTGATCATCTCTGCCAGCCAGGATGTTAGGCAGCAGAGTTTCCCTCAGCAGATTAGCTTGCTTCCATACTGCAGCAGACTAAAGACTGGCAGCGAAGCCATTACTTCTTGCAGAGACTGAAGATCCAAGGGAAAAACTGTACTCCCCCATCACCACCAGGGTCGCAGTAACCTGCTCCCCCAGGCTACCAGGGGCTGTTGATTTAAATGTGTGCCACTTACATTCCACTCGAATCCTCCCGTGGCAATTCCACCAGCTGCTCCTGTTCCTGCCAGGCCCACAAAATGCCCGCTGCCAATGTTACTGGCAAACAGAGAAGCACCAATCTGAAAGCAGAAAGAACACGAGATCTTGGCCGAGTTCTTCGAGTCAGGCCCTGGCTAAAACAGCCGCTCCATTTGGAAAAATATCTTGGGAACAAAACAAAACTTGCTTAGCTGTTGTCCTTTCTGTCCATCTGTGGTTGCCATGGGATCCGAGTGCTTGGCAGCCACCACCTCCCTGACAGCTTTGAAGACTCCCTCCCACATCAACACACATGCACACAAATGTAACCATCATATCTGCAAGCAACGGAAACCAAGTAGGATGTTGCATATTAAATCAGCCAAGTAGACACTGCTGGAGGATAATACTCCCTTCCTCTCCTAAAAATAGGCATGCTGCATGTTGCTCATGAATCTCTGCAAAATTTCATTAACTGTCATCTGGGTGATATATTCCAAAATGAGCAGCCAATGCCCCTGGCCAAAGCCCTTGGCAGCTTGGACTAATGTGATATGTTGACCCTGCTCCAGGAGTGATTCTAGCCCATATCAAGAAAATTAGATATAATCAGACCAAAGATGCTTAAGCCATATGGCCAGCTTGCATCTCCAGTGGGAGATGCACCCCTTTTGGAGATGGCTTGCTTTGGTCAAGGGAACATTAAAGCATTATTGGATTGGATTAAAGCGTTAAAGTGCAAATTACAGTATTATTGGATTACAAGAGGTGGCACATACGCAAGATCAAGATTATGCCTCAAATCTCATTCTTCATCAAGTACTGCAAAGAGACAATGGGAGAAGATGGAGAGAAAAAGTCATGAACATAATTTCCCTGAACTGAAGCACAAAACCGTAATCTATTATAAGATCAGGAACTGACATATCTGGGTGTGAGAAACTTGAGTGGGAAAATACATTGAGATGGGCTTGGATACTGCAAGCAGAGGATACACAGGAGGTGAAGTGGTTCTGAGATGAAAAGGGAACTCTTATTTGTTTTCAAATCCTATAAGAACAGCAAAAAGGATAACTGCAAAAAGGAGAGAAATAAAGAAAAAAGGTATGGAGGAGGATAGCTGAGTGAGCTCTGCTGAGCAGTTTCTCCCACTCTTTGGTATCAGATACAACAATCATAGCTTAAATGTACTGAAGACTTTTCATGATGAAGGATCCCTGAAGTGCTTTAAAAATACGTACAATTCAGACTGCGCCCAGAGTGGCTGTACGCGATGCACTCTCCATCCTCGTTCACTACTTGCAGTCAGTTGGACTAAGAATCTACAACCCTTGTAAAAGGGAGAGCAATTCACTATCTGCAAATGAATGGGAAGTTGTAGTGCCCCGATGAATAAGAAGTGGGGAAGAGGCAAGACATCTCATTCCTTTAGCACTACAGGAAATGATCAAGCATCACAAAAAATAAATTATCTTTCTAGGAGCACAAGCAGTCACACCCATGTCCTCACAGTGCTTGTTTGCAATTCCCGGGCATAACATGGGGCTTTCAGCATAGCAATTAGACTCTGAAAATCAGGCTCATAATTAGTAAATCCATGCGAGAGCCAGAAAGGCATTAGCAGCCTTTGGCTCATGCTCCTTAATGACAAGATAGTTCTCTCTCCCACACTTGAAATGCAAGATATATTCTGCAAGTAAAACTAAGCACAAAATGTTATAATTTCTTCCCCCATTCTCACTTTTTCTTCCTAGCAATCTTAGCTTTCCTCAGGCTCCAGTACTTTTGTGAGGGGACAAATCTCCTGGAGTACCAAATTTCTGCTCTGCTTACTCCTGGAGTTCCTCACACTTTTCAAATGGCAATCAGCCCTATCCTGTTTGTGACACCAAGTATTTCCACAATAATGTTTTGTGATATAACAAACAATTATATCAGGAAATGAGTCAAAGAGAAAGACTGGAAAGAAGAGTAAGAGGGTGAATTCCATCACCTGGTTGTTCCAACAGGAATGATTTTTGATGGAACACACCGTAGTGGTGAATGAGTCAAAGAAAAAGATTGGATAAATTATAAAAAAGAAAGCTCTTTCCTGAGGCCACAAGAGCAAATTCATTGCCCCCACCTACGCTTAATCCTGGGTTTTCCCTTCACTGTTCCACCCAGACTTGGCTATGGAAATTAATTAAATGCTATCTTCCTCTAGCTCAGTGAGTATGTCCAAGTAATGCAGTTCTCAACCAGTATGGGGACATTGCATTCCAGTTTCTAGGAAGCTCACAGCATTTGCAAGGTCAGTGGGAATTATAGGTGTGCACACCACTGCCTAGAATCAGACCCAACTGGACATGCTTCGTTTTCATTGGAGTCAGATGCCACTTCCTTTAGCAGGAACAGGAACATGGTCTATAGGAGGACAACAGTAACCACATTTTTAAAAAAGGAAGCATAGTCTCATCACCAGTACCCACAGATTACAGCTGAGGAGGGGAGGGTGCTGAGCATGTATGGATCTTATTTATCAAAACTTTATTTTTGTATTTGGGCAGAAGGCTGCCTTGGTTTCACTGCACTGTCAGCTGTTGTCCACTGCTTCACCTGTGGATGAATTATTAAACCTCATTCTGAGTCATTAAGAATGCAATCACTACAAATGATTAACTACATTATTCTCCAGTTCTCACTGAATGAGTTCCTGCTTCTGGCCTGAAGGCTTGAAATGCACCTTAAGCAGCTTTAAGTAATGAAAGCAGCCAGCTAAGGACCCAGAAAGCTGACAGCTCCAAGTAGAATGGCAGGAGTGCCTCTGAACTTGGGTTGTTTGTCTGGAGTGAAGCTGGGACTGTTTCTATGCAAACAGATTTGTATTTTCTTTATCAAACTTCCAAGAAAATACACAGCCAAATGGAAACCCATGCAATCAGGATAACAAACATGAAGAAGCAGCAATGTAAGCATATAAGCATATTACCTTCTGCTTCTATAGTTTTCTGACACAAGGAAGACCCACTGGCACATACTAACTACAAATGTAATCTAAAACCATGTTTTCAGTGATTTATACATCCATTAATGTACATATATTTATATAAAGTATTTATACATCTCACACACTGAGGTGGGGGGAAGCATTTATTTATTTATTTTTTTACTCAGAAGTGTAGAAATATATTGGCAAGAAGAATGCACTTCATTCAAAAGCTTGTCTAAGTCTATTCCAACCATGCAATTGGTCAAATAGAAGATATCACCCACAACAGCCCTTGACTCTCCAATCCTTTTGTAAATTATGGCAAGAAAAGCTACAAGGGGGTTACCTAATGCTTTGCAGTACCTATTATAGCTACTCTCATTAAGCAAGTGCCTAGTGAGTTCTGCTTAACCCTTGCCATTGGGATTTTTGAAGGAGCTAGACTCACTTAAGCTGTTTTAAAATGTCAGCCTTGTTCTAGACACAGATATGCCCAACTGCACTGAGCCTTAGAGACCTAGAGAAAAAGTAGACCTTAAGCTTTGGATGATATGAGATAGGACTGAATACTGAATTCCCCCAATCTGAATTGATAGTGCCTGTAATAGATCCCCAGTTGCAACAGCCAAAGGATTCTGGCCCATTTCCCAGATTGCTCCATACTACTGCTAATATCTTTCCTTCCTTACAGGTGCAGTATTGCAGTTGGAATGCCCTGTGTTGTTAGGAGGAGCAGTCAGGCCAGTTTTTTTATGACCTTGCTGCTACAGGTAAAGTAAGTCAGAGGAAGTGGTTCTCCTCACTTCCATGCCCTTGCTGACCTGACCTGAGGTTCATATTTTGTATAGGACATGGAGCCCTGTGGACACAGTTGCTTGGCTGCTAAGGGAATTCCAAGGAAACAGTTGTTTTTACCAGTTTGTGCAGTCTCCACTAGGCAACTCCGTAACTATATCTCACAAAGGATGGGCTGAAAGCAGGAAGAACAAAGATAAAGGTCAAACAGTCAGGGGGAAAATGGATGAAAAAAGAAAGATATGGTAGGAAGAGGGAAGATGAAAATGAGGGAAAGGGGAAGGACTGCTAAAGTTGAAAGCACAGGGTAGCAAACTGAGATGGGAGAGGAGAGGTCAGGGCTAGAGATCCATGTAGAATATTATAACTTCTCTAAAATCATAGTTTCATAGTTGGTAGGGTCGGAAGGGACCTGAGCAGATCATCAAGTCTGCCCCCCTGCCATGGCAGGAAAGAGTACTGGGGTCAAATGACCCCAGCAAGGTGATTGTCAAGCCTTGTCTTAAAGACCCCCAAGGTAGAAGCCAGCACCACTTCGCTTGGAAGTTGGTTCCAGAGCCTAGCTGCCCTGACAGTGAAGTAGCGCCTCCTGATGTCTAGCCTGAATCTACCCTCTGCCAGCTTGTGTCCATTGTTTCTAGTCACTCCTGGCAGTGCTCGGGGGAACAGGGATTCCCCCAATGCCTGCTGGTCCCCCCT